TTGAGATGTGCATTCCTAAATCTTTGCAGTTAAGGTTTTTCCAGTAATTTATCCTCAAAATATAAAAAAAAAAAGTGGACACTTTTTTAAACTGGTACATGTATAAATGAATTTTATTAAAAATTATAAAAAAAAAAATAAGGTGGTAGAAGTAAAGCATCACCATTATAGCCAAAACAAAGTAGTAGGGCTAGTAGCTTTTCAATTCGGGCTAGTACGTTTCTCAAGCCCATACCAGCCTGGGGCTAGTACATAGAAAAAACAAATAAACTTCTGCTGATGAATGATGAATTTTGCATCATGGACTAAAATAGTTTATTTTTTTACAACCATATCCTTATTAGTGGTTTACAATAAATCTAAAATGCCCCCCCCCCCTTCCTCCATGGTTGGTGTTCGGACAGTTTCAGATCCTGTTCTGCTGAGTATCTTTCTAACCAATACTACTGCACTCTAGAAACTTCGCCACACTTAGTAGCGAACTATCCTCTAATCATACCGAATTCATTTTAATGTTAGTTTTAATTTTCAATCAATTTACTATCAATTACTATTAGAGTTAAGTATTCATTAATTCTACATAATTTAAGTGCTAAACAATACTGGAAACAAGAGTATTAACAGGTGTTAATTCTTTATTTCAGTTTAATGGCTTGAATATTCTAAAAATAGTGTAGATGCTCTACTGTTCAGTCTAATGATCTTAGTACGCTTTAGGCTTAGTTGTATCGATAGTAATAAAACCTAAAAAATTATTCATCCAAACTAATCTGGCTAAAACACAATAAATTATGAACTCTAAACTTTAATTAATGCCAATGTCAAGAATAGAAATAATGAAATAAAATTATTTTCACTCGAGGGAAAGCTAGCAGGAAGATTACATTGCTTATGTAAAGTTGCATTTTTTTCATAAATTGTTTTTTTTATTTAAACAGTGCAATATGTTCACTTTCATTGATCACGACTAAAGGAATACGGATGGACCATGCATTCCCGATCAGAAAAACCAAGTAAAACGATGAAATTCCTCAAGCAAAGTTAAATTTCTTGGGAATGTAGGAATATAATATTTCGATCTCTGAAAGTAATACTTCTAAAGATAAAAAGAGGTTATATTTTACAACTAGAAGTGTCTCTTGTTACACTAGCTTTCCTTGTCAGTGTTACTGACAGTGTCTCTTGTTACACTTAGCTTTCCTTGTCAGTGTTACTGACAGTGTCTCTTGTTACACTTAGCTTTCCTTTTTATGTTACTGACAGTGTCTCTTGTTACACTTAGCTTTCCTTGTCAGTGTTACTGACAGTGTCTCTTGTTACACTTAAATTTCCTTGTCAGTGTTACTGACAGTGCCTCTTGTTACACTTAGCTTTTCTTGTCAGTGTTACTGACAGTGTCTCTTGTTAAACTTAGCTTTCCTTTTTATGTTACTGACAGTGTCTCTTGTTACACTTAGCTTTCCTTGTCAGTGTTACTGACAGTGCCTCTTGTTACACCAGCTTTTCTTGTCTGTGTTATTGACAGTGTCTCTTGTTACACCAGCTTTCCTTGTCAGGGTTACTGTCAATATCTCTTGTTACACCAGCTTTCCATGTCAGGGTTACTGACAGTGTCTCATGTTGTAATAGTTTTCTTCATAAGGATTACTAATAATTATTATTTACTTCTGATCAAAATATAAATCAGAATATAAAGTTAACCCAGTGAAGAATATAGTAAACGTTTTCTTTCTTAACTTTTTTTTTTTCATTTGAGCTGGTGTTAACTTTACATATTCACATAAAACAGAAGAGATGTATAAACAGCAGTCTAGTCTTCTTGATGCCGAAGTGGGTCATCTGGTTACAGCATGAACAGAAGACTGCAGAAGTGATCTCCTGATCAAAACAAGCTCTGGAGATCAGAACTAAAGATAAATCGATTTTATTGCATCAATTTTTCCTTCTCACTATCACTGGTGATGTCTCTTATTTTGTTAGCTTTCCTTTCCAGGATTTCTGTTATTCTTTTACTTCACCATCTTTCCTTTTCAGAGTCTCAGTTATATATTTCACCAGTTAACCTGTGGTGTTCTGTATATAATAGTTAGGGCCTAAATAACTATGAATGTAGTTGCACATTTGTTGTAAATAAATTTTGAGAGTATAATGTGCTGTTATAAAGCTCTTTCTAAAAGACATTTTTGTGCTGAGACACTTTTATTTAGGAGTTGTGTCACATTTGAGATTAGACCATGAAGAACAATTTTAACATGTATGTTTATACGTTATTTCAATGAAAAAAATAGCTTTCGAACATTTTCTATTTTTTTGGAGAAAGTCTTACAAAAAGATTAATTAGCAAAAGAAAACTAGGTGATGTATTTTTATCTTACATGTTTTGATATAAGTTAATATTATCACAGCCATACAAGCTTCATAAACTTGAAACTGGACCCTCCACGGATGTGACATGTACACGGGAAGATGCACTCAAGTTTTACCGGGAAATGATGACCATTCGAAGGATGGAGGCAGCAGCTAACAGTTTATACAAAGAAAAGGCAGTGCGAGGATTTTGTCATCTTTACTCTGGTCAGGTAAACTGAAAAGTTTTATTTGTGGAGAATTATAAAAACTTTGTTAGAATATCAAGTTTATATGTTTGAAAGTTTTTCAATAGTTAATAATTTTGATAAATATTATTTAAGCCGTATTAAATTTACATGTTTGAAAAGGTTCCAAAATTTATAATTTCCATACATGTTTCGATTTGTAATGCAGGTCATTCATCAAAAGTTCTAGATGGTATTCTGACTGATCTATTTTTTCATTTTGATTCATGCACAACCTCAGTAACTTAATATTTTTAAGACTTTTTACATTCTCACTGTCCTGACTATTGCATTATTGTAGATTTACTCTGTATCAGCTTTGCGTACTCTCAGATGTCATAAGTCCCTGAACTTAAGACTCTTTTTCTTCTCCCCACCTTTGGATTTTCTGAGACTACTTGGACTCTTTTTTTTTTTTTTTTTTTTTTTTTTTTTTTTTT